TCTGGGGTAAACTGGAGCCAAGCTATACTTGGCATGCATTTCTTTCCTTAACGAGCAACTCCATCTAGCTCAAATAAAGAGTTGACAGGAAGGGCCCAGAGTTACACTTGTCTCTGGGCCAGCCACCTGTACAGGGTGACTAGAAACAAAAAACCAGCCCTGCTATAGAACACATTCTCCCATCCCATGTTGGTTTTCATAGTTATTCCACATATACCATGATCTCCCTTGAAGGATTAGAGCTGTACAAGCCAGTTCCTGACTTTATAAACCATAAGTTGTGTGATATCATAAATTTTGATGCCTGTGCAATCTCAAAATTTTATTTTAAAGTTTTGTTTTGGATTAATTAAATTCATGAAATTTATTTAATTACTAGAATGGTAATTAAAATTAATTTCTCCTATGAACATATAGTTATCATCATCTATTCTAAGAAAAAAATTTAATTAGTGATTTAGGTTTTATGTCTCTCTTTCATTTTTCATTTTGATGTCAAAAAGCAGCTGTTGTACTGTTTGGTCCAGCAAGCATTCTGTGTATGAGTCCCTAGACTGAAGCAGCAGTTCTACAGTTTTGAAGAGCTTACAGAGACAGCCTCAGGACCTCTAAGTGCATTTACACATTTGACAAGAAACACATTAATGGAATCAATGTCAATGAAAATGTTTAACATTCTTCTTAAAAACAGAGGTTCAGCGGGTAGTCTGTGTTCTCTGAACCAAAAGGACACTCATGGTGGGTATCTCTTGCCACTTCCATGTAATTAAACTTTTGAGTAGTAGTTCTTAGCATTGGAGCACTACTGTTAAAGGTCCACAGTGGAGTACCAGAAAAAAGAAAACCGGATGAATTTATCATTAATTGTTAAGATGACCTTGCTGAGGAGAGGTAAAGACTCGAATCCTGTCCTTAACTGAATCAGAATGGAAACTGCACAGATATGAAAGCCCTCAAATTTACAGGTATTTAAGCCTCCATCTCTTTTAAAACCAAAAGTTGAAACTGTATCAAACTTAATTTCTGACATTTTTAACATATTTTCCTTTTGTTTTTCAAAAGAAGGCATCTAGTGTGGCATACACTAGAGCTCATACAATTTGATATTTGACTGCACCAGCACGTATTGTGGGTACAGCAGGGATCCTCCACATCACTGAAATTATCTCTGAAACATACATGTAAAATCTGTTACACTAATTTTTGTTTTAATTAAGACAACTGTATCACTTCTTAAAGTGCACTGTACAAAGATCTTGTAACATGCAGTGAAAATGTATAGTTATCCAGTTATTTGTCAATAATATATCATACACAGTAATTACTACTGAAGAGTTTAATCAGTTTTTATAGGCATCTTTTAATTCTGTTATCCTTTTGTGTTGATCAGGCTACAACTTCCAGCAACATTATTCCATACCCTCACTAAACATAGATCAATTACAGCATATCCTTTTAAGAAATTTGAAATAAAATATGCTAAGTATATTAAAAACGTGCCAAGTATTTTACACTCACTGCCACTTTTAATACCAGTAAATTATCCTGTCCTGCAAGACATTGCTATTGCTATTCACAGACTATGTGAATAAACTTCTAGCTTTCATTCATTCTAGGCTCTGGAGCCTACTGATGGCAGGTCTGGGAAACAGGCTGAGGGCTGTCCCCTTCATATTTTGAATGCTCTGCACAAGGGACGGTTTCAGGGGTTCCTATCAATATGCTCCCGGGTAAATTTCCCCTTCTGTGGGATGCTTCTGGGGAGCTGTTATCATTGGGCTCCAGCTTTAACACCTCCAACCCACTGCAAAGCTTTCCTCTGTAGCTGTTATCAGTAGGATTCAGAGTTAACTAACATACCATCACCCAAGAAGGCTGTTTACTGGAATGGCTGTTTTTTAAGTCTTCAGAGTGAAAACAATGCCCCAAGACTGGAGGAGCTGCCATCAGTAGGCTGAACAAAACTTAATTGATAGCTTTGCACTGATATGGGACACAGAGGAAAGCAGGAGAAAAAAAATGGATGCAGAAGATTCAGGTGAATGCCACAAAGAACACAAGAACTGGTTAAGCCTCATGAACTAATGTTGGCATTTCTAATATAATCCAACAAGAAATGTAATTAGCCAGCTGCACTGGTAATGTATTAACTCTTGACAGTCTTCTCAATACTTGCTTTACCTATGGTAAGAGACCAAGCTCATACATAATTTTGTTAGTGTATCAAAGATTGCAAGTGTTATGAAAACTGCTGGTTATACTTCATGAGTACTTGGCTAGTGGGAGAAAATTCTGGGTGTGCCTTTGAAGCTTAAATGCCCTTCACTATACAAATAGTGAAATACAAAGCTTGTGTTAAAATCAGCTTATATCGTCTAAACTGGTTTGCCACTCCATTGTTTTAACCTCACACACAGCATCTCCATTCAAATCACAATTTAAATGCTTCAGAATCTATTTCCTAACTGGTGCAATATTAACCACAGCCCATGTAGCACAGCAATGAAAGAAAATCTATAAGGGTCTCAAACCATAAAAACTTGGATACTGAAAACCTTAAAGGGTCACTAAACAAAGCATGGGTAATGACTGGTATTATTAACAAACAGTCATGACATATGGGGACAGAAAAACCTGGTGGGATCACTCGTACTGGAGGCATAGATATTCATACCCTACTGGCAAAATTAGAATAATGAAACTTAACTCTGCTCAACTGTCCCAGGGAAACCTTGAAAGAGTTCATGTGTTCCTGAAGCATCAACATTGAAAATCCTGGACCATGAACTCCCAAAACAACCTGGAAAAATGGGCATTAAAGGGAGAAACCTGCTTGAAGACATCAGAAGCATCTGAGGAGTGATGCAGACACTGGGGGCCCTCAAATGGAGAGGCCAGAACAAGTGAGATTATTGATAGCTTTGCTCACTCCCTTCACTCTAATAGTAAGATCGTAGCACAGAGACCTTAGGAAAAAACCAGAAGATACAAAGCACAAGCTGGGCATTGGATACTACCAAATCCCCAGTGAATTTCAGGGGCTCTCCCACTGTAAATGCCTGCAGGTGCAGTAAGTTACAGCTAACACACAGCATTTATTCACCCCTGAAAAAGGGCATTCTTACATTGTTACTAAAGATTAGAAGCTCAGTTGTTGAGCCTGGACAGAAGCTAAGCCAAGTCAGCTGTTTACTCACTCCTTTCCCCCAAGAGCAGGAGTTAAGGGAAGGGCCAAAGCAAGAAGAGTGCAGAGTTTGAGAAAAAGCCTCTTTAATTCTTCTAGTATTTGTGGAGGTTATCTTTTACCCTCTGGCTAAGTGATGAAGTAAAACGGATTGTCCCCTGGTTTCTAGGAATGGGGTGAGAATTAGGTGGACAGCACTCAAAGATGCTTTAAGGTGGAAGACTGTCAGCACCCAGCAGTTCAACTCTCTCAGCACTGTGGCCAGCATTTCAGTCAGACACAACCCATTTGACAAAAGCCCTGTGCTCAGGCACCACTGGACTAGAAAGGGCTGTGCTGGGTCCCTGTGCACATNTTGATGGGACTCTACTGTGCCCTTGGGAAGGCTGTTTCTCCCTTCTGGCTAAATGTTGATGCCAAAAGGATTCGTCCCTGATTGCTAGGGAACAGTGTGGGAATTGGAGCAGGCAGCTCTCGCAGGTGCTCCAGGGCAGGAGCCTCTCTCAACTCTATGGCCAGCACTTCAGTCTACTCAGCCTGTTATAAATATACTCATAAAATAATTAATTTAAAAATTAATAAAGAAAAAAGTGTTAGTTATGATTGCAAGTAGAAAATAATGAAGCATATGTTATAGTAATGTTCACTGTGCTGCTTGTTAAAGTATTCAACCAGACTAACCTTACCAAGAAGTTACCAAATATCTTATGCCTTCTTCAAGAAGCTATGGATATTGTCATGCACACCAGTTAATCCACTTGGAAACCGCCTACCCTTCCCATCTTAATTTGAATATGAAGGATTCCAATCAGTAGATCTCAGTAGATAAGGCCAATGCTTGTCTTAAAGTAGGAATATTATTGAAGTTATACAAATAGTGAAACCAATAATTCTAAAGGTTAAATTTAAGAATGAGCATATTTTGCATACTATGTAAAAGAACTTATGTAAAAATGACACAGCAGAAAGAGCATACACAATGAATGATTTTTCTTTGCTAATCAGAACAAAATTGGAGGAGTAATCCCCCCTGATCATGGCATTGAAACAGAGAAGCGTCTGCTTATTCACAGCAAAATGGTGTTGGATAAGTTTCTTTCATCCTGTTAGGTGAAAAAAAGCCCTGTGCTCAGGCACCACTGGACTAGAAAGGGCTGTGCTGGGTCCCTGTGCACATTGGGACACTAGCAGCTCTGTGTGAGGACAAACTGGAGCTGCCTCACATCAGACTGTGCCAGTTTCATGGCAGCCCCATGCCCAGCCCCAGAGGAGCCCCACAGGCAATACGGCAGCGCTGCAGCACGAACAGCTTAAGAGTCTCAACATCACAGTGGGCTTTGCTCATCACTGGATGAGAATGGTCGTGGAGATGTCACCTGGCGATGGACATCAATGATGATGGCTCCACCTAGCAATGGATTATGATGTCACTGTGGAGCTGGCATCCTGTCTTACACCTCACCCAGTCAGTGCCACATTCCAGCTGAGCACATTCCCGTGTCCATGTGCTGGAGGCTACCACTCTGCTAGGTGGCCAGCGCTGCATTTTTCCTCTGCTGCTGGCCTGGCCAGCAATTACTGCCTGAGGGCACAGCAGGGAGATTTTGCTGCATCTTTGCTTCTAACTTGCTGCTTCACTCCAGTTCTCCCTTCTCCTCCATCTGCTACTTGTTCTTCACTTGCTGTCACTTTCTTTCGTGATGCTCGTTTCCCTTTCTTCCTGCTCTGGGCTACAGGAAAGCTCCATACCAAAGCTGTATCAGAGAAGCCCCTTGGTAGCTCTCCTGTTTTTCCTGTAGTTTCTCTAGCCACCAGCATGGAGAAATCCTGGGTAGGCACGTGGAGACCTCATCCCCGAAGGGGTCCAATCCTTGCAGAGTTCAGCACCCCAGGTCCCAAGTATGGCCTTCCTGGGACAACAGGTAAGTCAACTATCATACGGAGGCAGTGGCAGGCACATCACACCACCTGCTGCCACTTAGAAACTTGCTTTCATTACACAGTTGCAGGCACAGGTACTTGCACAGGCTTTTCTTCCCAGGTCACCCAGGTCATGATCCCACCATGGCAAGAGCTCCTGCATACTCATTTCGAGGGACCAAATGTCCTAGTGCAGAGACCTGCTCACCAGGTCCTCGATACTTCATTGATTCATCCATCACCAAGACTGGGAAGTATGTTTCTCCATCGGCACATGTGATGGGACGATACAAGACCAAGAGTGACATCACCCCAGGACCCAGTGAGTAGTATTTCTGCAGCCTTTCTTCCAGGCCAGACGAGCAGCCTTTCTGCTGCCCTGTGCCACTGGGGCACAAACCCCTCTGCTCATGCCCTGAATGCGCTTCAGAGAGTTCCAAGCAGAAAACAAGCAAGATTGAGCACCTCCTCCTTACTTCTCCTCTTTGGCTTGCAGTTTAGGTCCCCAGGTTCAGGTCTTCTCTCACCTCCTTCTCTGTCCCAGGTGACTACACCACAGAGCCTGCTAACAAACATGTCTACCACACTGCACCAGTGCGGAGCCTGATGTCCCGGCCCAAGGACATAAAAGGTTTCCAAACGCCAGGTATGGAACTTGGGGAATCAGATGCTCTTACAGCCTGCGTGTCCTCCCGGGAGCGTCTGCAGCTTCTTCAACAGGCCTAGCTAAAAGCCTAGGCAGCAGGACACTGTGTGTGCTCAACAAGCTTTCTGCTGTCCCAGAGCACCAACTTCTCCCACCATACAGAAGAACCGGCAGCTCTGGTTTCAAACAGCTAAGGCACACCACATGCAACAGAAGCCAGAGGCACTGGGACGAGGGGCAAGATACCCTTCCTGCTCCTCACAGCCACCTTGGAAGCCTGACGCTTTTCCATCCAGGCATTGAACCCTTTCCCACAGGTCTGACCTACCCTCTATTTCTATTCCATTTCCAGGTCCTGCCGCCTATACCCTGCCTAGGATTCTGGGACCCCGCACAGCGTACACCCATGCCGAACCATGCTACTCCATGAGATGGAAGAGTCAATACCAGAGCTGTTTTCAAGACTTGGCAAAGGTGAGCTTTACTTTTGTGTTCTCTCACAGCAGCAGTAGAAGCTCAGCAGCTCTCCTCAGAGCTGAGGGGCCCCAGTGCCTGCTGTATCCCCACGTAATGCACACTTCCCTGCACGTGCAGCAAAGAGCAAGAAGCCACAGGTTCTCTGGCTCTGCTATTCCAAGCTAAAAGCCCAACACCTGCAGTCCCTCACTT